CAGGCCCAACCTCAGCTCCAGACGTTCCAGCAGGACAATGCTCGTCCTCACACTGCACGGGTCTCTATGGACTTCCCCAGAGGGAACAACATTGCTGTACTGCCCTGGCCCACTCTGTCCTCGGATATGGCACCAATCGAGCATGTGTGGGATGAAATTGGTAGACGGATACAGACAGCTGCTCAACCTCAAAACCTTAGAGATTTGGAAGCCAGATTGGCCAGGGAATGGAATCAAATTCCCCAAGCCTTCGTTCAGACACTTGTTGACTCGATGAGATGTCGTTGTGCTGCCTGCATTGCCGCCAGTAGTGGTCACAAGCGCTACTGACTGACACACTGTTTCGTGACATTTTTGGTGTGTGAGGGTGGAGTGATAACATATGCTTTTACTGTAAACTTGAGTGTTGTTTTCACCAGAGATCACGACTCATTTCTTCAACAATCACTTGTCTGTTGTTTTTTCGTAGTGTTAAGATTGTTTGTTCCACAGATTCAGAAATATTCACATTTCTAAATAAACTTGCGTTTCTTTTGCGGTTCAGTATACTTTTAACAAGCACCATGAAGATAGCTACTACAGTGACGAAAATAGAATTTCACTTGTCCCTCTGTTGTCTTTGGATAGACATTGCTGTAATGGGTAGATATAATCGGCATTAACACCCAACATGCACAGGGACATTTTGTCGAAATTGGACGGTTGGTCTCATAGTTACGGGTGTTTGAATGAAATATATTAAGGAGCTAGAAACCGTCGAAAACGGAGCCAGAATACGTTTTTGACATGCGACCGGACCTTCCAAATACAGCCGGGGTCGCGGGGTCATGTACCTTTGAAATAGTTCCGGAGAAGAATGAGTTCCCTCTTTAACAGGCCGTAGCTCCGTTGTTCGTTGGTCTACAGTCAAATCAACTAGTGTTCTGGAATTGTCAGGACTTCAGTTATCATATGTACACATATAGTGTACGGAACAGTGGAATTACCTACCCGCCAAAACCTTCATACTTCCTCGAATCCAATATAGCCTCCAAAATGAGCCTCTTGGCCCCATGGGTCATCAGTTGAAATTGAAGGTAATCGGATTCAAGAGTTGCCCAAGAAATTTGGTAGTCATTGGACTTGTAGTTTCGGAGATTATTGCTTTGGAAATTGAAATTTTTGAATTATTTTTATATATTATCTGCCCTTTGCTATTGGGCCTAGAGACCTGCGTTTTTGGCGCAATCAACTTCACCGTTGTGGGCACCTTGGTGATTTTTTGGAAGTGACTCTGAGCTATGTTTGGTACAAAATACGGTGGAATAATACATAATAATAATCCGAACGATTTCAATAGGTCTCCTGCCTGGAGGCAAGGAGCCCTAATTAATACATAAATCATGATTGAAATACCAAATGTATCCTGTAAAATTAGAATGTGTTCATGTCAATAACAAGTTGTGCAAAAAGTAACTGCAAAGAAATATTCATAAACATACCGGCAGCATTGAGTCCAAAAATCAGAATTATAGCTGGGTCTCTGAAAAACCCTGAGGACAGGCCTGTAAAGTCAGCAAGTTTATCCAAGATATCACCCATGATTTGAGTAGCTTGGACACGAGAAGTCAATATTCAATATCTGAGACAGCGCTCTAGTCCTTGATCAAGGTTGGTCGAGTTAATGTCGTCTTGTGTTGTGTCTCGATCAGAGCTTGAATGGTACGGTATTATTAAACCTGGTTTATATAGTCGACGAGGCTCTAGCGTGGAGGGATATATTTAATTATTTTAGCCGTTGTATCAGGTACTGGTGTAGACTCGTGAGAATGAATGGTGAAAATGGAAGTGTCAACTTCGTGTCTTATGTTCGTTCACTATTGTTTAAATTTGGATTCTCTTTTGTGTGGATTACACAAGACTTTGCCGACGTAGATGTATTATTGCAACGTTTAAGCAACGCTCCAAGGATATCTGTTTCCAAACTAGGAGCAGTGATATTGGTACTGTAATATTGGTAGTAGTTCCTTTCTTAAAGTTTATTCATCGTACAAGTCAGTTTTGGAAACAGAAGTGTATATAACTGCGTTGTACACTAATAGAGACTAGAGCGTATATTATGTGAATTTCGTTACTTATTGCACAAAGTGGGTGTCTAACAGCTGCGTTTCAATAAAGACAATGTAGATAATACTATAGCAATATGTATCAAGTGTCATTTAGTTATGTCGTAGAAGAAGAATACCACTTTCTGTTAGTATGTCCTTACTACCATACCGTACAGTTTATTCCTGGTTATTATCATATAAATCATCTGTATTTAAGTTGAACCAGGTGTTATGCACACAAAAATATGAATGCTATCAAAAGCCTAGCAATCTACCAGAAGAGAAACCTACCTGTTTGACTGCGATACAGTGATGCATTGTATTTATGTTTACGTATTGTATGCTCACAAACAAACAAACATGTATATTTTGTACCCTGGGCCATGAGGCCATTATACGAAATAAACTCTCACTCTCACTCTCACTCTCACTCTCTCACTCTCACTCTCACTCTCACTCTCACTCTCACTCTCACTCTCACTCTCACTCTCACTCTCACTCTCTGTATCTATTTTTGTCACGAACTGTTTAACTAAACAATCCCCATGGGAGTCGCAACGTGATAAATTATGACGTAACACGTGTACACTAGTATACCACTTAATATGGGCAGTGATATAGACAAAGAAAATGTGTTAACATGTTGCTACTCGTATAGTAGGTGTAGGAGTAGCCACTCAAAGAGCCCCTTGTGTTATTCAACTTGCTGAAGTACCCATCTGTAGCGTCGTTGTGTGACTTGTATTGAACCAATGTCACTGAGGGACACTCCACTTGGTCCAATATCGCTTTGAAAATGCATACGAAAATATGTTCCCAAACCCAGCAGTGTATCATTAATCATGCAACAGATCTGGCCACCATTACGGGTATCTAATATTTCGATTTCTGTGTTGGGTCTATATATGCCAATAGTGTGTGTGCAGATTAAAGCTATACACATACCACACAACAACCGACTGTTAAACAGGAGTGAGTGAGTTCAATTCTACGCCGCATTTAGCAATATTCCAGAAATATCACCAGAAATTAGTACCCATGTGAGGAATCGCACCTATTTAACAGGATACCTCTGGCTATTGCAGACCAAAAAGCTTCAGCCAAGCCTAATAGCTGTTGTTTAACGCTGCACTCAGCAATATTCCAACTATATGGCGGCGGTCTGTAAATAATCGAGTCTGGGCCAGGCAATCGAGTGATCAACAGCATGAGCATCAATCTACACAACTGGGATACGATGACATGTGTTTGAAGTTTACCACTGACGAGTGGCGGTTGCAGTATAAAGTTTCTCAGTGGGGGAGTGGGTGGTTGTGTGAATAGCGTTTTACGCCGCAGAGTAATCAGAGGGTATTTTGGGTAAAGATCTTCTGTCAACCTTAGCCACACTAAGGTTGGGTCGGACCAACCTTAAATCTTCACCTTAACTAAGGCTACCTTAGCGTAAGGTAGATTCGTACAACGGGACGTCAACCTAAGCAAAGGCCTAAGGTTAAAACTTAAGGAGGTAAGGTAACCTTAGAGCTAAGGTTGTTTTGTACAACGTGACCCTGGGGATCTCTCTCTCTCTCTGTCTCTGTGTCTCTCTCTGTGTTTATCTCTCTGTGTCCCTGTCTCTGTCTCTGTGTCTCTCTCTGTGTCTCTGTCTCTATCTCTGTCTCTCTCTCTGTCTGCCTCTGTCTGTCTCTGTCTGTCTGTCTCAGTCTGTCTGTCTCTGTCTGTCTGTCTGTCTGTGCGTCTGTGTGTCTGTCTGTCTATCTGTGTGTGTCTGTCTGTGTGTGTGTGTGTCTGTCTGTCTCTGTGTCTGTCTGTCTGTCTGTCTGTCTGTCTGTCTGTCTGTCTGTCTGTCTCTCTCTCTCTCTCTCTCTCTCTCTCAATATAGTGTGAAACAACAAACAACTGTAATACGTTCAACAAATTAACAATTGTATTATAAAAGTAACCAAGTTTACAAATCAAGACACATCATAATTAGAAATTTCAAAGGCAGAACAATCGCAAGGGTAGTATAACATATTAGCAAAGGAGGGCAATGTTCTATACTGAGCCAGACATCAATACGTACATGTAACACATCAGGTCTTTGATGGCATTTAGAAGGGATACACATAAGGAAGAGAGTTTTATCGATGTCAACTTCTTTATTATGAGGAACACAACGTTTCTTCCTCCTCCATCAAGTGAATGAATGATATGAGGCAGAGAGTATATAACTGTACACGTCGGTATAAACACTGTATGTATCAATTTACAACACGCACACTAAACAGAAATTGTGATAAAATAGGGGCCGGGTAGCCCAGTGGTTAAAGCGTTCGTTCGTCACGACGAAGACCCGGGTTCGATTCCCAACAACTTACAATGTGTGGAATAATGTGACAAGCAGCGTAAAACCGCAACTAACTCACTGATAAACTATTCATTTGTTCGCTACATTTTATGGCTCCTTATATACTTCTCATAACAACTTATGCCCCTTTGACCTCTCAGTTGTCATGTCAATCCTACGTACCGCTGTTCAACAGACAAAGCTGTCGGTTTGTGCAACACAACACGTCACAAGTTGGCAAGACATTTCATGTGTATGTGTGCAGTGGTAGTACTGTATCCATCTGGTGATCGTTTGGCCACAATGGCTGCTCTAAACTGATTTCATGCTCCACCCGGTTTGGCTGCTTTTGTACCGATCAAACACGACCCCGTATCCAACACTGAGTTAACATCAACAGCATAAATGTGATCAGAATAACGTATACAGAGATGATAAAATGTGAGCAAAGACGATTGCCCTGCTATGCATATCACACAACATGTCGAGAAGAGAGTGAAAACCGCTGTTAAACATGCCATAAGACCTACAACCCATTCAGTACATTTTGTAAAACAATTGTTCATCAAAGTCACTTAAAGAAAAAGTGATTCAAAATCATTACATCTCAAAATATCAATATTCTACATGATATTGGACCACATAGTGTTATTGAGACAATATATCTGAATATAAAGTAGAAGTAATGGCTGCTTACATTACATTACAGTAGGTGAGAGAGTATGTTTTAAATCGGTGTTAGTTTTAGCAATCTCCAGCAATATCAAGTCGGGGGACAACAGAAATGGGCTTCAAACATTGTATCCATGTAAGGAATCAAACCCGGGTCTCGGCGTGACGAGCGAACGCTATAACCACTAGGCTACCCCACCAACCATCAAAACATTACAAGTTGGGTCTTTCTACAACAGGTATGGTTCATCACGTTCACATCAAAAGTCAAATGTTTCTACAGTGCATCACATCATATCTATCCAGGTACCATATATCTATATTTAACATACAGAAAGAGATTGTGACATGTTCTCTCACTTACAGAATGTAAATACCTTCACTACATCTGATGTACATAAGTACATACGACCACGACCACGACCACAAACACAGAGTCCGTATGGATACTGGACACCATCCTGTGATGTCAGTATGTTTCTGACAAACTGTCCTGACTCTGTCAGATGGATGACTCTGTGTAGTGAGTTGTCTGTCACCAGGATGTCGCCTGTGCTGGTACTTGTGATACCACGTGGAACCTTCAGTGCTGTGTCTCCTGTAGGTCTGTAGTTGAACACCACATCTCCCTCGGGGGTCAGACACACGACACAGTTGGTTCCCCAGTCAGACACCAGGATGTTTCCTGTTCTCGTGGTACAGAGAGAGTCGGGACACTTTAAGATGTTTCCACCATTGGGGCGAGGACAGACTGACTTCAGCACGTGTCCTGACATATCCAGGATATCAACACATACAGGGGAGTGGGAACTTGCTGCCAGTGTTGATGGTGTCAGAGACGTTACACCCCAGTACTGTTTGCTGGTTGTGATGGTCGACAGCAGCACCAGGTCAGGGTTCACTTCAACTGTTGCAATCTGACTGGTATACGGCACAGTGACAGCCACCTGGTTGTGTTTCAGCCTTGCTATACCATAGGGTCTACCTTCCAGACTGAGCTTGCTGTGACCTGGTTGACTGTTCCTGGTGTAGAAGGACTTGACACTGTTGTTGTTGTAGTCTGTAACTACCACTGTGTCTGTACCATTCACCACTAGCATTGTTACGTCACTGGGGTCTCCTCTATCTGCATCTCCTGCTACTCTCACGTCAATGGTGTCCTGTAACACAGTATCAGCCTTCAGGTCCAGCACAGCAATGGTGTCCTGTAACACAGGGGTAGCCTTCAGGTCCAGCACGGTAATGGTGTCCTGTAACACAGGAGCAGCCTCCAGGTCCAGCCCATCGTCATACTGGACGTGTATCTCACCCAAATGGAGACCTTCCAGTGCTCTACCCAGCTTGTCCGTGTCCTGTCTGAATGTTATCCTGTCTATTCTTCCCTTCTCCTTCACGTCTACGACTCCGACAGCCTCCACATCACCGGCCTCAAATCCCTGATACATCTCATACACATCCATGTCACACTCAGATTGTAGAGCCTGGTCTATCAGCTCAGTCTGTTGTTGGTACATCTGTACTGACATCTCACCTGACTTTATGTCTGCCTTCAGTTGTCCAATGTGTCTGTCAGACATCTCTTTCAATTCAGACAGAAGTTTCCGTTCCTTGGCTTTGATCATCTGTATTGCTGTGAGACTTGCAGACTTGATACTTGATTCTATTTGTATATATAGCGCCAATTCTTCTTTGACAATGGAGTTTTGTTTTCCAACATATGATTTCATCTCATCGTGTTTCTTTAATAAATTCTCTTTATTCCTTTTCAGCTCGGTTTTCATTGCAGGAATCTCTGACTCAATTTCAACAACCATGTCACATTTCCTGTGATGTATGGTGCAACATGTTTGACAAACAGCTGTTTTACAATCTTTACAAAGATATTTCATATTCTCGTCCTTGTGGACTTTACAAATGATTTTTCTCTTGACCTTGACCCTTGTCTCTCCAGACAGGTCAACTACGTTATGGTGACGGGAAGAGGGGATTCGTTGGTGCATCCGTGTACATCGTTCACATAGTGCGTCGTCACAAACAGAACACCAAGTTGAAGCTGGAGTTGTCTCCCCTTCCTCCTTGCAATAACTGCAGTTAGTTGTATCTGAAATAACCATTCATTCATGTGGTGATATTAACCTGGTGACATCACAATGTATTATATGGCTGGATGTGTCACATCATGTTCCTACTTGACTTGAAAATGTATCGGAAACATCGGAACACGTCTCAGGTTGAAACGTCATGTAAATATGTTTGAAATTGTCTCACTGTAAACGTTGTTGTACGGATCATGAATTAGGAGATAAACCTACTGTGTGGGAAAATCAGAGGTATATAACGAAATTATAATAGCTCTAAATTTCATTTAAAACCGAACGCGTAGCGTGAGGTTTTAAATGAACAATTTAGAGCTATTATAATTTCGTTATATACCTCTGATTTTCCAACACAGTAGGTTTATCTCCATTCTACCATGACTATTTTATGAACAATTTCAGTTGTAGCTCTTTCTTTGGTTACGAGTCAATACGTGAAGCTGCCTCGCATTCCTATCTCAAGTGGCATCGCCCGAAACGGGGTGATTGGTGGCAGACCGTCAATAACTAACAAACTCCAGATTCAGTAATAACAAATCACGGGTTTTTTTTCAATGCATTAATCATCAATCATTAACTGATAAGTTGGAAAAGATATATCAAATAAGTTTAAAAAGCTTGGTTCACATTTGAAAATTCCACCGTAGACCCTTTCCCCACCAGAATAATGGCAGCAACCTCATGGCCTTGACCTTTTCTCGGAAGTCATTGTTTACATTTACGTGCAAATTTGGAAAGATGCGACAGGAGAGCCTCTGACAGTTTGCGCAAGGTTAACCTGATTGTATGACTGAGATAATCTTTGATATCTAATTACTGGTACTGGTACAAAATGTAAGAGTAGGGGAGCTTTTGCTGTAACGAGAAGGCCATGTTGTACCGAATTTAGTACTGTTGAATTTTGCGCCCTGTCAACTTGACGATTTCACGCACCTCTACGTCTGCGTGCGACAGCTGTGGTGACCCTTACACACTCATATGTGTACTTTGTGCTCAAATTCGATTTTACTGATATTATTTTTTACATTTTGGAAAGTGTTTTGTGACCTAGTGGCTTCAAAGTGTAGTGAATTCAAATTGAATCGGATTCGCTAGCATGTCCTCGAGGCTGTTGACAAAGAGCCAGATTTGTGATGATATTTCCGAAAGGATGGGACAGGACATGAGGGTGTACCTCTGGCATAAACACGGTAAGGTAATTAATTATACTTTAATAGACTACTTTAGATCAAGCAGTGTAAAGGATAAGGGGGATCATGACTAAGCTAAATAACTTTTTTCAACGATATTATACTTTTAGAAAAATATATGTTGGGCTAAACAGAACGGTTTTCAGGTTCTGTAATTACTACCGCTAAATTTGAAACAGTACAAATTTCAAAATATCATTTTGCTTGAACTGATAACCCAACTGTCTATTTATGTGGACGGAAGGGATTCAAATTTCTTCGGCGTTCGATGTTAATGCATCCTCCGTTACCGGATTAAGATCAGTGGCGATATCGTTGACGAAAGCTGATAATAAATTTAACACGGAAATTATGTAGCAGTCTATTGCTGGATCTATTCTGACATAACATAGAATCAACGTAAACATATTTGTTCTTGTTGATTTTTTATTCGGAAAGCAGACGATGTTTTGATCTTGTTCGACTGAATATTTGTTTCCAAGCATTCGAAGTACTTTTGTATGTATAAACACCTATCGCTGTGATTTACGCAAGTAGTGAGTCGAGCCCGTCATCGCTAAATCCATCTTTAAAGACATATGTGTAATTTCCGACAGCAAAATCGCCGTAATTTATCGATGCATCGGTAGGTTGTTTGGTGTCCGCCATGTTGGAGGGCAGACAAAAATAGTGCATTACCGTAAACCATGTATAATTGCGCACGGAAAATCAGAGACCAGTATAACGTGATTATATACCTCTGAATGACTTTAATTAACCAATCACAATCCAGTGTTTACTGAAGTCATGGTAGAATACGGTTTATATATGTCTTTTGTCATGTCACCTGATATGCTGTTTCTTGCTCGTTGAACACATATCCACAATGAAAATTCACATTCCTCACAAACAGTTGTTTTACATACATCAAACTATACTAGTATTTACATAGCAGGGATCATACAGTGTTCATAACATCACAAACATTTATTTTGCTTAAATCAATTATTCTGTTACCTGCTAGCAAACAACACGTATATTGCTACAACCTACAACTATTCACCTTTAGATCCGGGGCCAAACGAGTCCAACAGTCCCTGGATGACGAAGCTTGGCTTGACGTCATCCGCCCACTCCTCCACTGGTCTCTCGGGGTCAGACACTTTCGTCATCTTCCTGCAGAATGGACACAGGAGAGACTTGGCACTGAGGGCTTCTGGTCTGGTTTTAGTGTAGTTGACGACACATTTCCGACAGAAGGTATGATTACACACAAGTGTACAGGGCTTGTCAAACACCTCTGTACATATGGTGCATGTCAGGAAGTGTTCTGTCAACTTCTGGGAGGTCGCCATCTCTCCTATCAAAAGTCAGCAGACACGACATAAACATTCTATCCACTATACAAACCACTGTCCGTCTTGTAGATTCTTTCTTTGGCCTGATATTGATATTGGATACTTTTTCATACGTAAAACACAGAACTTACATTCCCTCAGATATTTCACGGTTTACACAGACACAAAATTATCTCTTTTGCCTGACATACTGGAACCGTTGAGCCACTATACGAATGTTTATGGGCACTTGTGGTGCCTTTGTACTGATTTCTGAACTTAGTTAATTTTAGAACACAACTGTTAATTACAGCACATTTCTTTGTTGTTGTTGTTTTTGTTGGTTTCAAAGCTTATTCTTTTACGGAATTAATTCATAATTTAGTTCAGGTGTTTAGTTCAAGAAACACTGCCATGAAAGTCAGGCGGTCGGTCCCTCGGGCTGTTGTATGAGTTGTGCTATTGTGCTTTAGGAATATGTTATCTTTTGAGGTTGACAAGCAGTACCGCATGACATTGTATAGTATAACAGACTGGTCATGTTTTGACTGGTGTCAAGGAGCACCATCAATCAGATAACCGTGTGCAGCATGTCGATCACCTGACAGAGTTCATGGCGACACCCGCTCATTACCATATCGAAAGTAGGGGACGTTAAGTTCGGATTCCGCTACAATAGATGTCAAATAATGTGGTAATGTAAAATTATTTTACCATATGTTTGTGCTGTAGCATTTATCATAAATCAATTCAGTAATAACTTTAACATACACACGTGATACATACATCCATATACATCGGGACAGATCTCAGTATTGAAGTCAAGAGGCCGATCAAGGAAGTAATGAAAGTAGACACTTCATACACCATGCTCAGTCTAAATATTGCAGGATATTAGGTGCCCGGATTTGAGCATGTGCCTGGAGATGACCTAACAGTTAGATGAACCATTGTAGTGTTACCTGTACACAGTAGGACAGGTGTGTAGCGTTATAACTGGAATAGACACAGCCCCTGTGACAACACACTCACCTGAGACAGCCAGGTGACCGGTCCAGAGGGAAACTGAGCACAGAAAGAGATATACCGTACAGGGTTGACGTGGTTCATTCGTGATCAACTCGTCATTCAGGGACAGTTTGCATGTTACGGAAAGGGACGAGTGATGTCGAATGAGAATCCGCAGGGTCACAATTCAAGATTTATCGTCGCAGTCTTATAGCTGTGATAGTGTTAAGATTACAAACTTCAGGCTCCTGTGATATAGCTGGATGACTGCATAACAACAATCACTAACTCACTCACTCACCCAGGAATAAGTCACACCGTTATCTTTTTGTGGGTCTGCTACACTCTACACGTTCACAAAGCACATGCTGTCTGTTGGTTTGGGTTTGAATGTGAAAAACAGTTTATCTTGGAGAACATGAACATTCATGTTGAGTCGTCTGCTCGTCAGACGGAAGACCCGGGTTTGATTCCCCACATGGACCAAATGTGTGAAGCCAATTTAGGTGTCCCGCCGTGATACTGCTAAAAGCGGTGTTAAAACACTCCCCTAACTTTTCTGAGGACTGGACTGGTCATTTTTTTGTACTGACGTTTAATATTAAAGAGTAAATGCTAAATTATACTGGACGAAATTTGTGTGCTGGTATCAAAGAAGGCGACCAGTGTCCGTCAGAGCTCCTGGACATGACATCCGCACGTTGACCCTCAATATTAATGAACGATGTCGTTACACTCTCAGACTTGTGTACAGATTGGTCAAGACTTGCTTGTGGTTAACAACGGTCACGAACCGTATGCTTCATTCCCATGGGATTCTGGTTATCAAGGATCAAGGATATGTCGTCCAAGGGGACTATATGAATAGGTTCCGTCACATGGAAGAATAATTGTTGTCATGCACCGGCTGCTTGGATGCTGCCATAATAGCAATCACTCGTTTATCCAGCCAACACTCGACTATCTACAGACTACCGCCATCAACATGTGGCTGGGTCACAGTGACAACACGCAGAGTGAAGGCAGGGTTGTTTACTTCCAAGTGGCTTGACAATTTAGTGTACACGCTAAACCCTGAAACAGTTGTGGCAACACTATAATAACAATATAATAACAATGTTCAGCATGTTTACAGAACATACATTTACATCTATTTGTAAATATTCAGTACATTAACAGTATTAACGACGATTCCACCAGTTGACAACATACAGCCGTGGGACGATCCCAACTATGACTATGTTTTGAATAGACCTACTGCAGACTGGTATGCAAGCCACTCACCTATCACATGTTCATGGAAAACTGATTAGATACTGAATTATTTTTTCCTCGGTCACGGTAACATTTGCAGTCATGATAACAGCAATGATCAATGTGTTGAGCCTGTCTTCCGGCATACATCAGTATGGGAACACTGAAATAGTTACGTTCGAGGTTCATGATTTTATGATGAATATTAAGTAACTTTCAGCTTTATTTCATAAAATGCGTCTTCTGCTAAATTTATCCCTAAAGGTTTAAGTATGGTGATGAAATACGCACCGTTACGGAAGTCAATAAGTTTGATCTCACTACTGGATACAGTAATGAAGTACCCTAAATTCGTTAACATAAAGGAACGATGGTTCTTTATGTTAGAATGATATATATACATGTTATAAACAGTATTGTCCGGCACATTAGATACCCTATGTATGGCACAGGGGCCCGTGTTTATGCCTGGGCTGCCATAGCAGACGATGGAATAATGTGTCCTTGAAATAAGATAGGTTATGATAAGAACCAAACCGATTCAGTGTAAACTCTCCATATAGACTTAATGATAAGCATAGAAAGATATATTTGATACTCTATAAAACCTTGGATTGAGATACTTTGCGATTATTTGTTGTTGTGAAAGCCAGGTGATAGAGAAAGGCTTCGTAAGCGATGATGAGTTGGGAGATCAACTTTATAGGGTTCTGCGAAGTATTCGTGTCCGTAGTCGTCAGTGTCTCGTCTTGATCTCCTAATTGTCATCAGTCAGATTTGGCGGGTAAGTTGATCACGTGCCTCGATCACACCCGGAAACATACGAGCAGCATCGGATGGCCAATCCAATGTAAGAGTGCGGTAGCACCGATCACTACATTGTTTTAGAGACCGACTCCGTGGTGTAGTGGTTAGAGCGTCCGCCCCGAGAGCGGAAGGTCACGGGTTCGATGCCCGACCGCGTCATACCAAAAGACGTTAAAATATGGTACTTGTTGGTTCCTGCCTGGCGCTCGGCATTAATGGGTACAACAATGAGTGGTCGGCTCGGAGTCAGTATAATGTATCTGAGTGGGGTATTCATGCTTCACTGCGGCATGGTATCTCAGTGGGCTAGCACTATAAAACCAGCTTCAGTCTGGGCTAGTACAAGCAGCCGCACATACACATACACAAGCATGCACGTCGTCATATGAGCGAAATATTCTCAAGCACGACGTTAAGCAAAATTTCACCTCACCTCACCTCGTGCAAACTGCGATAACAACAATGAGACAACATTCCTACACAAAACATTCTCACTATGCCTCGCTTTATAGTTATTTAATGTTATTTACGTTTAACAGGGAAGATATGATACACATTAACAGAGAAACTTTGCGTCTACCCGCGTGCCGTTTACAACACACGCTAACTACACTGACGGCATTAATTACCCTTATTTAATATATGTTGTGTGTTTATAATTACACATTGAAGATAACCTGTCACACAAGTTTTGTCAGTCGTGTCTGGTGACGATATGACGTGTGAGGGTGCGAGGTGTTCAGACATAGGAAAAGCATGCAGGTTTGAATGGACCAATCGTGACGTATGGTCATGGTTGAGTAGACACTATTGATTGTATTATTAAAACTAAGCGATTAAGTATATGAAATGTTTCAGCGCTGATATGAGCTGAAATCAAGAAACTTATCAAAAGTACATGACTTATGAACTTGTTCATCACGAGTGATCTCCCTTCCATCACCCAATAATGTCAAGTCAATTCAGTAACAGGTGTTGATCGCGTTGAACAGAAAGCAGCTCAGACGTATGTCATTTGATCGTACATACAACTCTCTCATGTGGAGATATCCCAGAAACATCTGAAGTCTTCCTCCTCTACATCTGTAGTCTACCTGCTCTACATCTGTAGTCTACCTGCTCTTCATCTGTAGTCTACCTGCTCTACATCTATAGTCTACCTCCTCTACATTAAAACTAAGCGATTAAGTATATGAACTGTTTCAGCGCTGGTATGAGCTGAAATCAAGAAATTTATCAAAAGTACATGAATTTGTAACTATTTCATTTCAGCTACTACAGTAAGGGCAAACAAAGCAATATATTACAATATATATTTACATTGCATATGTCAGCGCCTGTTGGAGGCTGAAATAAAGATAGAGAATTAACGATGATTTACAATACTTAAAATCTAACTGGCGCAAAGTGATCATAATACTCAGATATAAAAAGTAGATCGCTGCCACAAACACGTGGCTGGAAAACTGAGTGCTGCGTTGACCATCAAGCGGCAGTGTACACTGTTTACGAGGGGCTATCAAAACGTTTTGAGCCTGAAATGCTTCTGTTGTGTGCATGATAAAAATAACTGTATGATATTGAAGAAAGGTTTAGATCATTCACATAAACGTAATGTTGACATGCACATGTCCCTACTTTACGTGACATTACATGTACCCCTATCGAAACTGCAGAAATGGATAAGCTTGAGTACAGAGTATTCATAAAGTGTTTGGTCCTCTAGGGCCACACGGCGAAGCACCTTGAAGAGCGATTGACAGTATCCCATGGTACTCAGTACTCGTACTGCTACTCGAACATCGCTCTTCAATGTCCCCCTCGTATGTCTGTTTACAACACACGGGAAGTTCTGAAACAGCTCAAGTGGTGATACACTATTCTGGCGATCGCTGTTATTGCTCTATAAAAATACCTCATTACGAGTGATCTCCCTCCCACCACACAATAATGT